GAGTGAGTGCTGTGAATGAAAAGGGAAAAAGTGAACCAAAGGCCCTTTTGGCACCTGTTACAATAAATGATACTAGTGCTGAGCCCATTATTAATTTGCTGTCAAACACATTCAGTGTGAAGGCAGGAAATGATTTAAAGATTGATGTTCCATTCAAGGGTGTGCCACAGCCAACAGTAGCCTGGAAAAAAGAGGGCAACCTGCTGAAAGAGACAAGCAGGGTAAATGTGTACACATCTGACACATCATCTCAGATCATTATCAAAGACGCAACCAGAATAGATGCTGGAATGTATGAGGTGACCTTGGCCAACTCGGTTGGAACCACATCTGCTGAAATCTTTGTTAATGTTTTTGAAAGACCTGGACCACCATGTGACCTCAGTCTAGATGAAGTGAGTGCTGACTTTATGTCTTTGTCATGGCAGCCCCCACATTATACTGGCGGGTGTCAAATTAGTAATTATGTTGTTGAGAAGAGAGATACAGGCAGCACGATATGGCAGACTGTGTCAGCTACAGTTGCCAGAACGTCAATCAAAATTTCCCGTCTGACACAGGGCAATGAATATCAGTTTCGTATTGCTGCAGAGAATCGCTACGGCAGAAGCCACTTTGTTGAGTCTGATCCTATTGTTGCCCAGTATCCCTTTAAGCCCCCTGGTCCACCAACCAATCTCCTAATTGTGAATGCCTCAAAGTCTGTGATGGTGGTTGCATGGAGTAAGCCAGACAGTGATGGTGGCAGCCCTATTATTGGTTATCATATTGAATGCAAAGATCATAGCAGTATTTTGTGGACAAAGTTAAACAAAAACCCAGTGTCTGAAAACCAGTTCAAGGTGACAAGTGTTGAAGAAGGTCTGATATATGAGTTCCGGGTCTGTGCTGAGAATATGGCTGGTGTTGGACCATGCAGTAAGACATCTGAGCCTGTGGCAGCGAGAGACAAGTGCGATCCACCACGCAACCTCACAGTCACCAATATAACTAACAGCTCAGTTTCCCTCTCATGGGACAAGCCAGATTATCATGGTGGGGCTAAAATAACTGGGTACATTGTTGAGCGTAAAGAGCTTCCAGATAGCTGCTGGCTTAAGTGCAACTTTACCAACTTACTGGATACCTTCTTGGAAGTGACTGGCCTCACAGAGGATGAACAGTATGATTTTCGTGTGATTGCAAAAAATTCAGCTGAGCTCTTCAGTGCCCCCTCTGAAACCACCGGACCTGTTACGGTGCAGCACGACGTAGAGCCACCCAAAATTACTGTGGAGGACAAATTTAGACAGGTGGTGGTTGTTAAAGCAGGAGACCTCCTAAGAATAGATGCTGATATCTCTGGACGCCCCAACCCTACAGTGTTTTGGTTGAAGAATGGCAGAAATATTGGCACCAAGGGAAGGGTTGAAATAACTGCAACAAAGACGCATACCTCTCTACTTATCAGAGAAAGTGTTAGGAAAGACTCTGGACAGTATACTCTGACCCTACAGAATACAGGTGGTACCATATCTAAGGCTATCACCTGCAAGGTCCTGGACAGGCCCGGCCCACCTGCTGGACCACTGGAAGTGTCTGGACTCTCAGCAGAGAAATGCACCCTGTCATGGGGACCTCCTCATGAGACCGGTGGGGCTGAGATCATGTACTACATTGTTGAGAAGTGTGAAACCAGCCGTGTAGCTTGGATCCTTGTCTACGGTGACATGATGGCAACTACTTGCAAAATAACCAAGCTGCTCAAAGGAAATGAATACCTGTTTAGGGTAAAGGCAGTGAATAAGTATGGGGAAGGTGAAACATTGGAAAGTGAACCTATAAAGGCCATGGATCCCTTTACTATCCCATCTGCTCCAACAGATGTTGAGGTCACAAGTGCAACCAGTGATACAATGACCATCAGCTGGAAACGACCTGCCACTGATGGCGGCAGTCGCATCAGCGGTTACATTATAGAGAAGAGGGAGAAGCAGGGTGTTCGTTGGGTTCGTGTCAATAAGAAACCAGTTTATGACCTACGAGTCAAGGCCTCCTGCCTACATGAGGGATGTGAGTATGAATTCAGAGTTTTTGCTGAGAACGCTGCTGGGCTAAGTGAACCAAGTCTCCCATGCTCACTCACTCTGGCAGAGGATCCAAAGTTTCTACCTTCCCCTCCAGCAAAACCCACCATAATCGATTCATCCAAGTCCTCCATCACTCTGTCATGGAACAAGCCGCTGTTTGATGGTGGAGCAGCAGTGACTGGATACAAAGTCGAATTCAGAAAATCAACAGAAGAAGACTGGACTGTTGGTGTCAAAAATACAGATAAAACTGAGTTTACAGTTAGTGGACTCGCATCGGGGACGGAATATGTGTTTATTGTCAGATCCATAAACAAGATTGGCATGAGCGAGTCCAGTCCTGAAACAGATCCTCAAGTGGCCTTGGAAAGAGAGGAGGAGCCCAGGTTTGATATTACTGCCGAGATGAGGAAGACCCTGCTTGTTAAGGATGGCAGCTCCTTCACTTTGACTGTGCCTTTCACGGGCAAACCTGTTCCCAATGTGACATGGGACAAAGCAGATGTAGATCTAAGAGTCAGAGGACTGATCAATACCAGCAGCTCCGCCACCTCTATCACACTGGAAGGGGCAACACGTGACGATTCTGGCAAATACATAGTCAAACTGCAAAACGTTGCTGGGTCTGCCTCTTTGACACTGAATGTGAGGGTTTTGGATTCACCTGGTCCGCCCACTCGTATAGCAGTTAAAGACGTGACCAAGAGCTCTGCCACTGTTTCCTGGGACATCCCTGAGAATGAGGGTGGAGCCCCTGTCAAGAACTACCTTGTAGATATACGGGACATCAGCAGAAAAGGGTGGACAAGACTCACTGACAAGTGCCGGCGACTGTCCTATAGGGTGTCTGACCTGGAGGAGGGAGGAATCTACTTCTTCAGAATCACCGCTGAAAATGAGTACGGGATTGGCGTTCCAGCTGAGACCAAGGAGGGAACGAAAATGACAGGTACAATCTGTGAAGAATAAACACAAAAGTTGTCCCATATTTGATGGGATTAATGATGTTAAATAAAGTGGGATGTAAAAGACGACATATTAAGCATCTTTTTTCACTTTCTGTTTCTATTTCCTGCATTATGAGCAATTCTGTTCAGTTTTTGTTAATGTTTATTCTTTGTTTCTGTTAATTTCAGATAGAGACTGGGAGACAAATTCAGGAGCATAGCTCGTCTCCTTTGGATGGCTGAAGTAATCATCTCCAGATCTTCCGGTCAAGAGCCTCTATTTCTTATCTTCATTAGTTGTTGTGCAGAAAAATAGGTTACCAATTGCTTTGTGAAATTATACATGACCAGAAGCTGCATTTTTGTAGATATATGATTATATTCCTTTTTTATTGTTTGTATAGTAAGCCTTACTATTATGACTTATAGTTTATGGAAGAAAAATATATTGATGGCCTGATTTCTTTTGTTTTTGTTTTAAAAAAACAACAACAACAAAAATATGTTGTTTGTTGCAAATATACAATAAAATAAAGATGATTTGAACAGTTATTGGAGTTATACTTTGGATTTGCTATATATGCTATATATAGCCTATTTGTTATATATTACTAACACTGTGTGGCAGGAAGCATGTAAACAGGATTAATGAATCAATTTAAAGAAAAACTAACTATATATTTTAAAAAAGAAAACAGAAAAGAAGATATAGAAGGATTTACTATTGTAGCCTGAAGGTTTGAGGCAGAGGACCATAGTTCAGTCCAGTTAGTCATCATTGCTGTGCCATTGAGATAGATAATTACTTAGTACCCAGAATTCCTCCAAAATAATGACCTTGTGTTTAATAATTATTTAACACAAAGATCTATTGGGCTCAGTGGTTAAGA